GGGGGGGGTTTGAATTGAATGATCAATTATTAGACCCGGACGTCCCAACACCTGCTTCGCAAGACAAACTCAAGGTATCCCCTAAAGGGCTACCTTTCGTGACATCGTTTAAACAAAGTGGATGTCGGTCTTGTGCTATGTCAACAGCGCGTGAAACTCTTTAAACATCAAAACCCTGGGTGTTCTTGCAAGACCTCGTCTTTTCACATGAGGTTTTGGAAGGTTTTGGTTTCTTCAGTACATGTCAGTCAAGGTTATGATAGGCGACATGTCAGTCCTTGGCCCCCCCAAGTAGTGGTCATCACGACTCAACACGACTCAAGGAGGTCGTCAGCACCTACAAGTCCATTGGCCCGACAAGTCCAGACTTGTACCAGGACCTTCCAAGTCCGGTGTGGTATACAGATCCCAGGTAGTTCCCACGTCGTAGTAAGGAACCAGGGGGCCCTTGTTTGGTCGAACTGGGTTTAGTCGATCTGGAACCACTGGGACTCCCAGCGACATCGTGGGAAATGCCGACGGATGCCCTGGGATATACATCCCAACAAAGGTTGAAGGACCTTATAGGACCCTACTGGGGGACCCATAGGATGCCCTGGGGGTTGGGTTTTGCTGATGGTTTCAGACGACCAAAGGGTCAACCGGACTGAACTGGCGTGGCACCCTCCGCCCGTGGCACCATTGTACTGACCGGTGAGCGTCCAAAACCCCGAACAAGTTGTTTGTTTGACCGCAGAAATTCGAAACGACATCATTCAAAGTGCTTAGTAGGGGGCCGTGTCCCCACATCTAAAAACCACCATTCAGAATTGGTTCACCTTTCGAACCTCTTCTTGCTTAATAGTATAGCTTGTCTATAGTAGTAGCATGCAGTAACCACACAATCCATCACAACCCCCCCAATCCCTAGGGATCCACATACCTTCTCAGGTACGGTACGACTGGGCCCTCCTGGCGCCTATATACATAACAGTGTCTCCGTCCTCACCGAACCTGAGGTTCGGTACGACTGGATCCCAAACGGGATCTTAAAATCATCCCAATGGGATCCCAAACCCATACACTCCATGTATGGAATATCAGTGTGCCTTTTTTTCGACTCTGGTCTTACGACTCCCGGGAGAATCCTCCTCGGAACCCCTGGGAGCTTCGGTCCGTTGGCGGACCGGCGACGACGGAGTGGGTGCGTCCGGTCGCACCGAGCGCGTTGGTTTCCAACGGGTGACGTGTTGGTTTTCAGGAAACAGGTCTTCAAGGGATCAAAGAGGTGGAACGTGACCGTGTAAATAGGACCCGTCACCTGGGGTTCCCATAGATGTCTATATACCCTAGGGCTCCAGTCGTACCTCCTCAGAAGGAATCTGGACCCTCTAAACCCACCCCAGTCCCACCTTCTAAGAAGCTACTTGGAGCCCTAGGGATAGGGTCATTCAACCTGCGCCAATCAATTTCACCCCTTGGGCCGAATTGGGCCGTCTGAATCGGCAGCACCAAACGGCGGTCGTGCCTGGGTGTGACAATGAAATATGGCGGCCCTAGCCTTCAAAGACCATTAAAAGAACGGTTTGCCGAGAAACGGGCGTTCGGGATGGTGCCAAAGGGGTCTGGCTGTTTCTCGGCATTTGTGGCAGTCCCATGGACTTTGGGACATGTGTTCAGAAGGGAAACAGGTTTCTTGTTGGAACATTCGACTGACCCAAAGGCAAGTTCATAGTCTGATGATGTCTGATTCATAGTCTCGTTTACACACTGATCAGTACATATCAGTACAAATGAGGGTGCCCGGAGTAAATAAGCATCACTCCAAGAAATACAACGCCAAACCAGTCTCCAATCTTTCAACTACCATGGATTTAGATGGGTTGAATACCTGGACCCTCCAAAGGGTGTCCAATGGACTACCCCACACTACCTATAGGCTTCCATTGGGCACCCCTTGGAGGGTCCTGGTATGGGTAGTTTATTCATCAACTTCCCTGGTTCAACAACTTCGTCGGGGGGGAAGGCGCCGTGTTCAAAAAAGTGTTCATTGCACGCAGCAATGATAACAATCCCAGGGCATCCAGTTACCACTATAGCTGGTAACCAGTGGTTCCAAAGACTACAACAATAGACCTAGAATCCCTGGTTCCTTATATAGTGGTAACTGGGATGCACTGGGAATGAGAGGGAAGGCTAGGGCAGTTCTTTTTCTCAGAAAGGGACGATCATGACCCGACCGCCATTGAGCTTGGATGCATTTGTTGGGCCTGCGTCGATGAAGGCAAACATTTGTTGCAGCCCAATGTAGAGCGGGAACATCTACAGGAAACCAAAAGTTTTGAAGGTGAAAACCTTGCTTTCCTGTAGCTGCTCCCTTTAACCAATCCATTGAATGAGCCCATGAGAAGGACCTGTCCTCTTGTTGATCTTGTTGGGCTATCGCATGGAAGCTGCAAAATGATACCTCAAGGCCCCCATATACAACGCCATGTGCATAATCACATGTGTTTCCGCATGTGGTACCACCATGCTTAGGGCGTTATGGGCGTTCGAAACATCCCAAAAGCCTTCGGAATGACCGAAGCCGTACAGGACTGGAAGATCTACCCCAACCACCGAACCTGGCAAGCAGGCCTGCCGAACGAGCCATCTGCTCTGCGAAAGCGCCCCTTCGGGTCGTGTTTGGTGTAGATTTGGGGTACATCTCAGTATATCCCAAACACCCAGAGCCCAGTGGATGATGATAGGGCCTGGGGCCGCTACCAGGCGCCATCTCTTCAATAGTGTTCTTGTGAATTCCCCTCTCTTACAGGTTTACTGGAACAAGCCCAAGGTAGATTCTTCATTCAATAAAACCATTTGGCTTGTCAATCTGTCCGTGATGTCCAGAACCCCAACTCTGTGTGGATCGGCGCGTGGTTGATTTGGCTGGGGAGCTGACCCCGGTAAGATATGTAACCCTAGGGCTCCTGGCCCACCACCTGAGAAGGGTGAACCCCGAATCAACTCAGGATTTTTCACTACAAAAACCAGGTCAACCATTCAACAATTTTCTAATTGGTCGAACGGAAGTCGAACGGGGCTAGGTGGTATGAGGAGGTCACATCCATCCCCCATCTACTTGGCCGTGGCCGGTCACATCGATCTTCCCACTTTCTCCCAGGCTTCGTGGCATCCCAAAGAAGGCAAGTCTCCAGATGGTAGATGGTTTGGCCGGCCACATGGTGCCTTGAATCATATAGTCAGTGGCAAGTAAACCAAGCAGCCTACGAACCAACCAAGTTGTAAACAAATCATTCAATGAAAATTGACAACATCATATATACTCACATGTGCAAGCTGTTTTCAGCACCTCAAAGAAACACTCACCCAGGACCCTCTGGGACCATCCGACCATGAGGGTCACCTGGCTGGACCACCCTCTACCCTACTAATCCTACTCTCCGGGGATCTCACACGCCAGGACACGGTCAGCTGCTGGTCGGATGGTCCAAGGAAAATGCTCACATTCCAAGAGAGGTCAAGTGACCTGAACTAGGACCCTACTGGGCTACCTATGGGATAGTCTAGTTCGGGTCATTCAACCTCTGTTGGTTGGACAGTCCATGACAGCAAGTCGCTGGTGTTTCCAACCCCGCTCCGCTCTATTTGGCTCCACGCCGGTCCTCATGGCACCCACGCGTCACTTTGCGTCACGGACAGCGGCGTCGCAGGTCCAAGTGGCCGAAGGCCCTTAGGATCTCTTGTGCATTGCCTTGGCTCATCACCACTAGGCCTCGGTCGGTCCGGGCGATTGGTGCTTCTGCTTGAAGTACTGAGCTTTATTTAGTACCAAGATGTACCAAGTCAACTGTGGGGGACGTCATTCCCAATGCAAAAGGAAATGAGGCCACCAACCAGTCTGGTGCTTGGGTTGGGTTAACCCTTGTTGGTCGACTTGGTTGACCTTTGCGGGACGACACTTGGGGCGCCAGGCATGATGAACTGGCTAATTATGCCAGCGCGGCTTTTGTCGGCAAGTCGAAGCTTGTTTGAAAGGCGAGTCTGGACTTGGTCATCTGCCTGCCGAGCCGTTTCAACCAGAAAGTCCCCAATCCTCCAATTTAAGGTGCTCCCTTATCCACAGACTTCCTGGGGAGGTCAGTCTGTGATGTGAACGTCTTGCTGGGGACGCAAGTTACCTAAGGTTTGAGGCTTCACCATCCGATATGTCTCTGCCCAGTTCGGCTCAGAAGGAGCTCACGAATACAGCTGAAACATGTTTCCCCATGCGGATGTACCCAGTTCGGGCCAGTCAACACATCACCTGACCAGCAAAACCCAGGATTAGTGGGAGAACAAGGCCTGAATCCAACCCTACGGACGTCCAGTCTGACTCAGGTCGAAACCTGGTCCTGAAGACCTTCTTGAATAGTGTTTTTGTATGACCCACTTCAGTAAAATGAGGTCAGTTCCTGACTTGGAGGGGCGTCGACGTCTACCTCGATCTTCATCGGACACTGGAAGGAACGCCGGGGAAAAAAATGGTAATACAGTAATCCCTAGGTGGTTAGACCACCCTGGCACCCACCCCAACCATCTTCTCAGGAGGTAGTTGGAGCCCTAGGGAAAATGAATGACTGGCAATCCAACTTCTTCCCAACTTCTTTCCCTTGGTAATCTACACTGCGCTCTTCAAAAAATACAAGCACCAACCCAAAGTCAAATATTTCTCCAAACGCAATACGCAGGCATATGATTCCAGCATGTTCCAACCAACATGTTCCATAATCACTCATCCAATTG